AAAAACAAAAACGCCCCCCCCCCCCCTCTCTTCTCCTCAAGCAGTAACTTTAAACCCTCGTGAAATCCAACAAGGCAGACAAAAAGTCCAACTATCATTGACCACCAATCCTGTTTCCTTTTATACCTTCTTCCCTCTCCTAGCTGTTTTTTTACTCTCTATTAGTCTATTTTTCACTCTATAGGGTGTAAAGTAATCAATGTTTTGCTTTACATCGGCACCATTATTATTTAGTTCTGCCTTTGCTTTCACAAATAACTATCATCAAGTAATTCGAAGATCATCATCTCACATAGAAGATTGTAGCGATGTTTACAAAGGAGTAATCAGGTTACTAGTAGAATTCAGATTCATTCCTGACTTGCATTGCACGTATAAATAAATAATATTGCATCCAATAAGCGAATCAACTAAGTTTAACAACTCACTCACAGTAACACAGCAACCACAAGATTGACCTTCACTAAGAAGGTAATCTCCAGCGTTGCACCAAAATATCCACCATTTTGCACCAAACTAAAATTCATTTCCAACCATTACACCAAAACTTACATCAAACGAACAGTGTTTAACCATTTTCTTCCTTTTTTTTATTATTTATAATTTATTTATTTGAAAAATTATTTATTTAATTATTTTATAAATACATAAATCACTCAATAAATAATTACGATAAATTAAGGAAAAGAATAAATTCATTAATAAATATAAAAAATATAGTACAATTAGTAAAAAAGCTACAAAAATGAAAATATTAAATCATGCCACTAAAAAATAGTACAATGCATTTCGAATTTAGATATTATGATATTACGAAATCAAAATATTATTTTGATGATATTGGAGAATCTAGCAGCGGTCTTCCCGATTACTAAACTATGCACTTTTTTATGTATCGTTTTCTTCCAATAAAATCAAATTAACTTGTGTATGTCGTAGTTTAATATATTTCAGGTTAAAATTAAATAATCGTGTTTATTATAATTAAAATTTTTTCTTCTTTTAATTAATTTATTGTATTAAAAAATATATAGCACAAGCGACACAAATACCCTTAATCAATTTATTTGGGAAAGGAAAATGAAGGGTAAAAATGACTTTAGACACTTTGCACCATTTTGGTGTAAAATGGTGCAAAGTTTAGTGTTGCATTGGTCGTGTTTTGCACCATTTTTTGGTGCAGATGGCCTATTTAGCTAGCCACCCACTGTATTATATTATCCATATGATACAAATGCCAACAAATTTGTCCCGTCACATTTCTCTAGAATTAGACCTCGTGATCTACCCATATAAGCTAGCCGAATTAACTTAAATCCCTAAATGAGGTTCAAAAGTGTCACATGGGAAACTAAATTGACCAAAGGTTTAGCATCACAATTTCCACTAATTCTGAGCATCCAGATCACAGGGAAAAAAAAATAAAACTTAAATTTATTCAACTACAGATCACGAGATCAATCGATAGTTCAATTATACCTGACGCCAGCATCGCCAACAATCCCAATTGCCATTCCAGCTGAGAGACCAGCAAGGCCACAAGCGAGGCCTGAAGAGAGATGCGCATAGCCATCGAACAGATAATAACCCTTTGCCTTGGGGTTAATCCCAGTGCTGATAATCACAGCAATAATCAACCCATAAATACCCAACACTCCAGCCATAACCACTGGCACGATCGACTTCATCACCAGCTCCGGCCTCATAACTCCCATCGACGCTACACCTACCCCACTCTTCGCCGTTCCATACGCAGCACCCATACCTGTAAAAATGATCGAAAACAAACAAATTATCAAGAAAATATCGACAATCAAACCAATACGTGGATTTGAAGGATCTGAGGATTACAGGAGAAAACGAGGGCAGAAGCGGCGCCGAGGAAGCCGAAAAAGGGAGCAGTTTCATCGCCGTTAAAGATTGAAGACATTTTTGTTTGGATTGCAAAAATTTACTAACGGATCTGAAAAATTACGTTGAATTAACAGTTACAGTTACAGAGACGGATGGTTTGGGGGTATGGATGAATGGATCTTAGTCCTCTTTGCTGCCTGTTTAGATGTATGATGTATGGACCGTATGGTCTAGAAGAAGAGAAGAAGAGGAGCCAATAATTGATGAAGTGTCAATCCGCGTCGAACACGTGGTATTTGGGATTTGATTTTGGGTCCCGAACTGGATTGGGCTTGGCGTGAATATATTTTGAGTTAATTCCAAATTTACTATTAATTACTTTTTCATTCCACAAATACTTCCTTTTTAGCCTCACTTGGCTGTTGGCACCCTTTAAATCAAAACTTACTTTTTTTTTTCTTTTTCCAAACTCATTTTTAATCATATATTTATACAGTAAAATACTTTGTACATAGACCCATAATTTTTTCGACTTTTTGCTACATATTCTAAAAAAAATCATTATGTCAAAATTTATTTTTTCGCACAAAACACTCATTTTAATGAATATCAAACAGGGGTTACACCCAAAAATCTACAACTAATACATGACCACCGGACTATCACATACGACTGCTACACCACTATGCACCTCCAATCCTATCACACCCTATATACCAACATCATTGCTATTCTCTTCCAAACCTAAAATTGGATCGGTTTCTCAACTCCAACCAATCACTATTACAGCACAGCAACTATCGCAACCCATCTTTCACGACCACTTCAAATGAGGCCACCGCTATTGGAATTGTCCCTCACAATTTTTACAAAGTTCACAATGAACCACCAGAATCGACACATGTATTTCCATCGCATACATGGCTCATTAAACAAGTTCTTTTTTTTTTTTGTTTGACATTAAATTAAGACTATAAACGGTGTTAAATGGACCGAGTCAAGAAGCTGTTGCTCTCAAATGGGAAGAGCGAAGCATGAGTAACATACTTCGCAAATGGGGTGGTTGATTTTGGGAGGGTGAGATGGATTATTTTAGGGTTTTTTAAGTAGAAACTAATTTTTGCAGTTATGTTGTAAATTCCTAATCTATCATAATTGTTGACCCCGGAAATCGGTCCTTCCACATGGCCAAAGGAAAGCTACTCCACATATTCCTCCCTACGTACAATCAGCGAATAGTCAGGCGCACAAGGCCGAAACCAGCGGGGGTGGCGGCGGCCGTATACACTCCGACGGTCAAGTCAGGTTTGAGTGATCGGAACAGTACCCAGGGGCTATGCAAATCAACAATAAAAGGGGGAGGAGAAAATATATAAACTTGCTATGGACCTCGGTTACAACTAGTCGTCAATAATAATTAGTAGCTGCAGCAGCCTTTTAGGAGAATGGGCATGGCACCTAACTGTTATCTTGAAAACACGCAACAATTGTCAAATCATTTGACGTTTGAGTCGCCTCGTATTGAGCTCATCCTCCAACTTTACAGAGCTTGGACGCACCTGACGCGAAGGCCCTTTTGGGTCATCGCCTCGGACGCTGCGTTTCCTCCCATGCTTTACAAAGTTTCAGCTATCTCCCAACGCGTTGACCTTTTGGGTCAGCGCACCGGTGGCAGATGAGCTCCTCCTCCAACTTTACAAAGTTTGAACGCACCTGACGCGAAGGCCCTTTTGGGTCATCGCCTCGGACGCCTCATTACCTTCCATACTTTACAAAGTTTCAGCCATCTCCCAACACGTCGACCGTTTGGGTCAACGCACCGGTGGCAGATGAACTCCTCCTCCAACTTTACAAAGCTTGTTTAGAATTTACATTTTTCATACATTTTAATCTATTTATAATGATGTAGCTATAAATTCATTTATTCTTTTTGATAGAGAGATTTTGTTTCCATTTTATAAAAAATAATATGTAAAATGTAAATTCACAAAAACACACATCTAAAAAACAAAAAAGTTCTATGTTAGCATTCCGGCTGTCACTCTATCTCCCATAGTCTCCCTACTCTCCCGAAGGACAGTTGGATAGGGAGACGGAAAAATGAATTAAGTAACAAAAATTTAACGACAAGAAATAAAAATTAAGAATATTTTTCACAAATTTAATAGATGGGGGACTTCTTCTACAATTTTTCTTAATTTTAAGTTTTAATAGCAAAGAAATATTCTTAAACACACTATTAATCTCAAAAAATGTTGCCAACAGATACTGGATTGACCAGCGCACACGTAAGCCTAGTCCAACACGCTAAAACACGTGGACGGTCTCAAATGGACTGATCAAGGGCGTGGAAGCAGTTCAACATCGTGGGACGAGAACATTAGGAATCCAGTGATAAGTTTGCATAATGATTGTACAATAATTATCAATCGATTTTTGTAGAATGCGAGTATGAATTCATATAGTATTGTATTGCAAGATGGTGAAAAGATTGTTGAATAAAGTGTATTAAGAGAGTAAATAAAGTATAATCTTGGTTCTTGTATTGAATCTTGCATTCTCCCTGTAAGAGATGCATGGGAGAGTATTTATAGTATTACAAGTTAGATCGTGATCCTCAGTTGGGAGTACACGTGGCCTTATCTCGTAAGTTTACATGTTAAATTATAGACATTACACTCGACTTCCTAGCTTGCTACACATTTATTAATTGGCGGCTCTACTACTATTTTGATAACACAAGACGCTTGCACTCTATGATGGGCGTCCCATCAATCAATCAGGAATGATCCTTATATAAGACCAAACTTTGAGGAGGAGTGCTGCTTAGGGCATCTAGGCTTCGGTATGATGGGTCTCGACGTGAAGAGCTTCAGCAAGACAAACCACCTCGGCTTATTCACTTCGGCGCTGACATTTGGACCACGTCATGGGTGTTGTCTCGGTATGTTAGTTGATTTCTATTGGCCAGGGAGCCTCGACTAGGATGCCACGTAGTTCGGCATGAGTGGGCCATGGGGCATCAGTGGGTCGGCCAAGTGTGTCAACACATAACACACACTATTGAGGGACTATTATTATATTAATTTGCATGGTTCAGTGATTGGATGAAAGAGTACTACACACAGGGGTAGACCCAACCTTTTTGGATTGTGGGGTCAAAAATTAATTTGTAATTTTTTAAAATAATATAATATTAATGAAAATAAGCTAATACGAATTTTGAAAATATCTTATAATTATATCATTATCAATATTGTTAAATGAATTTTGCTACATGTATAGTTTTATTTACTATGTTATTTGTGGATATCGAGCTAATGACGAGTAAATTAAATTGGATGTAGGAAGTAAATGAAATTTAAGTTTAAAGAAAAAATAATTTGAAAATAATTCAAATTACATTTAATTCGTAACGATTTTAGAATTTATGATGTCATTTTTCATGTAAAATCTCTTAATAAAATGATGTAAATTATATTGAAAAATTTATTATACAAAAATAATAAACGATAATTAAATAATTGAATTTAAAAAAAAAAAGACGAGTTAAATGCCTCTTTTAGTATGTATGTTTGACGCATATTTAATTATTTTCAATATCTGTTTGGACCTTTCGATATGACTATGATGTAGTTCTCAAAACGAACTTATAGATGACGTAGGCGATTTGTAGATTTGGACAGTACATGATCATTGACAAATTTTAAAAATTAGCATATTATCGAAATTTTTGTAATACTAATTTAGAACGGCCTACTTTGATACATCATAACTTTTGCTATGGTTGATCATTTCTAACGCGATTAAAACTTTAAAATGATCTTAAGAATGCAATATTTTTTATTTTTTTATTTATTTTTTAAGAATGCAATATTTTGATTTCATTTGACATGTATTAAAGTAGATCGTAAATGGGTTAAACAACTATTTTCTGAAAAAAATAATAATAAAAAACTTGTGGGATCAAATGACCCCACATGATCCCATGTGGATCCATCCCTGACTCCGCACGTCCAAGCGGGTATGCCCGAGCTTCTATCAACAATTATTCTACTTGTAATTCATGTTATAGCTTGAAGTTGGAATTTGTAATTTAAAGATTAATTGTATATTGATTGCAATATATTTCTCATAATGCCACCATTTAATATTCGGAATTACAAACTTTATAATTGATGAAGATAATGGGGAATTTTGCATGAGAAGAACAACAAATTAAAAGACGAAAACAAGACCATAGGGAATATATATAGGGGGAGTCTTCCCTACATGCATTAAAGCATTATTCACTCTCACAATCAATTCATTAATAGAAAAGAAACAAAGTACATTTATAGATTTATTTCTGGATAATTAATAAGACAAAACAACTCTGGAGTTAATGCAAACGATGAGAGGGATGAGGAGGTAGATATTTTGATTTGGGTGGGTTGAAAAATCTCCTAGGAACAGTAGGGGTGGGGGGAAATTTAGGAACAGGAGGAGCTCTTGGGATGATAATTGAATTTCGTCTTCTCGGTGGAGAATTTGGGACGGAAGGAAGTGGCGTCTGTGAAGGCGGCAATGCTTTTTCAATAGGAGAAGGAGGTGGCTCTGGCTTTGGAGAAACAGGAGCTGTACTAGGAGGATTTGGTAGGTAAGTTGGTTTGGGATGTGGTGGAGCATTTTTAAATTTGGGAACTGGTGGTGCTGTAAAAGGCTGTTGAAGTTTTGGTGCTGGAGGTGAAAGGGGTGTTTTTATGATTGGACTTGGAGGAGTATTTGGCTTCTTAGAGGAGGGAACAGGTGGTGCCGGAGGAGGTGCCTGAGGGCAGGCAGGAGGAGAAAGTGGTGGTGCAGGGACGGGAGGGCTTATGGGGCTTTCAGATGTCAGAGATGGAGGAGGTGCAAGAGTAGGATATGGAGGAGGAGAAAGTGGCGGTGCAGGGACGGGAGGGCTTATGGGGCTTTCAGATGTCAGAGATGGAGGAGGTGCAAGAGTAGGATATGGAGGAGGAGAAAGTGGCGGTGCAGGGACGGGAGGGCTTATGGGGCTTTCAGATGTCAGAGATGGAGGAGGTGCAAGAGTAGGATATGGAGGAGGAGAAAGTGGCGGTGCAGGGACGGGAGGGCTTATGGGGCTTTCAGATGTCAGAGATGGAGGAGGTGCAAGAGTAGGATATGGAGGAGGAGAAAGTGGCGGTGCAGGGACGGGAGGGCTTATGGGGCTTTCAGATGTCAGAGATGGAGGAGGTGCAAGAGTAGGATACGGAGGAGGTGCCTGAGGGTAGGGAGGAGGAGAAAGTGGTGGTGCAGGAACGGGAGGGCTTATGGGGCTTTCAAATGTCAGAGGTGGAGGAGGCGCAAGAGTAGGATAAGGTCCTTTCACTGGGGCCGGAGGAAATGTTGGTGGGAGCCATTGAACGGGCGGTGAAGATGGATCTTTGCAAACTGGAGTTGGTGGTGGAACTGAATACTGATGCACCGGGGGAGGGGCTGATTGAGTGGGTGGTATAGATGGATCAATTGGTCCTGGAGCTGGAGCTGGAGTCAGATATTGAATTGGCGAAGTTGGTGATTGAGCAGTCGGAAAAGAAGGAGCCAGTGACTGAGTGGGTGGTAAAGAGGGATCTATGGACACTGGCGCTGGCACAGGTGGAGGAAGAGCCGGTGGAGTGTACTCGACTGGTGGTCCTGGAGGTGGTGACAATTTTGGTACATATGTTATATTAGGTTGCCCAAAGAAATTGTGTCTGATGACAGGCCAAAAGAAGGATGATTGGCATGTTCCAGGAGAGAATTTTAGCTTCTGTGTAACATCTGCTGTTTGTGTTCCATTATCTTCAGATCTGATGATTTTCATCGAGGCAGTCTGGGCCGTTTGTATAGGACACGGTGCACCTGATGCATCGTGAAGCTTGGCCAAGCATCCTTGTCCTGTCGTTTCATCATCTGTAATCTGATTAGAGAGACTTATGTTAAATTTTCCTTCTCGATCCACACCTCCATTTCCCATTGTCTGCATTTCTCCATTTGTGGACTTGCAACTGATAGCAACCTTAAGCCCTGCGGAAAAAATGCTGTTAGTTGTCAACAGGTACCTTAAGTTGAGAATAAGAAACCTTAATTCTATCACAACAGCAATATATTTGCAAAATGAAAATAAACACAAGAATACACAAGATTTATAGAGACGCATCTTAATGTGATGTTTTCTTTCGTCGCTGTAGTAATTCATTATAATGAAAGAAAGTTTACAAAAGAAAATTGCACACTCTAATCTCTCTCTCTCTCTCTCTCTCTCTCTCTCTCTCTCTCTCTCTCTCTCTCTCCCCCCCCTTTTGATTGACCATATTTTTCTGAAAGTAAAGGAAAATATTTTTTTTAGAAAGAGCATAATTTTATTTTTTGTGGAATTCACTCTCTCTTCTCTCTCTCTCTCTCTCTCTCTCTCTCTCTCTCTCTCTCTCTCTCTCTCTCTCCCTCCTAATAGTGATACAAAATCCTAATGACGACTCCACATGTATAAAACAAATTACAACAAATTCGAAATTACTGTGTGAAATTTTTAAATTGTCCTTAATGTAATTTTGATCAATCTGTGTACTGGTTCGGTATAACGACAATAATTAGGCTCTACAACTTAACACCTTCTTTAGATTTGATCTGACCATGAAAAAGAAACATGGGCGAGGGTGGAAACGAAGACGTACCTAAAGATGCTTGGTTCCTGTCGAATTCTTGAATGATGCAGTCAGTGCAATCTATGAATCCAACTATCTTGACTGTCATATTCTTGCCATTGCAGAAGCTTAATATAAACAATAAGGAGAGCAAAAGCCCAGAAAGTCGGAACAAAACCCCCTTCATACTGAGTGAGAATACTCTTCAAAATGTGAATGCTTTGTTATCTAGGCTGATGAACATTATATAATGCATTGCAAATTTATCCATTTATTGTTACGGTCCCAGTTCAATTTATGTCTGTTAAAGGGGGAATTAACACTGCCACCAATTTTTACGGCTCTTTCTGGACAAGCTTATACCATTTAGATGTTATTTACTATCTGTTTATACGAAGGTGCAAGTGGCATAGCAGCCACCATAACTTTTCTTCACTAGAAATAAATTGCACATTCTATTAGGTGGATCACACAAAAAGAAATATAGAATCAATTAGTGTCATCTTAAGTTGATTAAGCTCAAAGAAGCAACAAGAATTTCGCTTGGAATGTCTATTTTCTGTAAGTTAACGTATTTGATGTCTCTCGTAAACCCTTTCTAAACCTGGTTCTCTGACTTTTTAGCCAGTATGTACCTAAAATCACATTTGGTCAACATACATAGCTAAAACCATGATTTGAAGGTTAATAAACTCTTCTATGACATTTTAATCCATGCCAGCAAAACTTGAAATTCAAGATCTTTAGGTCACAACATCTAGAAATGTAAGTTGTTTACACTAAATATATATATATATTTAATCACTTTAACTCTTTAAGTTGGGAAGAGCTTTTCATCACATATAGGATGTGTAATTGAAAATAATTTTAAGAAAATCCTCCCAAACCTACCTAAGGTTAACCTGCTTAAGCAACTTGGACTTTTTAGGCTGTCAACCAAGTTAGGCCGAAGGCCGATCCTCTTGAGGCCCAGTATGGCCACCTTTTGACACCAAAATGCCCAAATGGCTCTGTTTTCGAGAAAATAGTGGCCAATGGCCGATTGACCTCGCCCAATTTCCAAAATTGCCTTTGACCAATATTAAATAAGGATAAAGGATAAAAACAAAACAAAAGGTTTAACTATACATTATATCCTTTGAAAAGAAGAAAAACAAAAGAAAGTAGATTCGGACTCCAAGCATATAGACGAAACAAATGGCCATGTTCATCTTCTTCCTCTTCTAAACTTGACAAGATTAGCTCATGTTTGAAATCTTATTATTTAATTGTGATGAATGCAGAGATTTGATTTTTTTCGTTGAATGCGTTAAATTATGGGTTTAATACAAATATAGAGGTTTTATTATGGTAAAAATGGAAGAAAAATCGTATTTTAGTTTGAAATATGCGAGAAATGAGTGTTTTTGATGTGGAGCTCACTAGAAATGTAGTTTTCAGGGAAGCACCACCGTTTGGGGAGTTCCAGGGGGGTACTTTTAAGTATAGCTTTGTCAAACCAACCATTTTCCATTTTAACCATAAAAATCTAACATTCACCACAATAGCCATTTCTTGTGTAAAAGACTAAAACGCCCTTAAATGAGTTATATAATTACAAAAATAGAAATATGGTAAAAAGACAAAAATATCCTTAAGTTACAAATAAAAATCCAAACAAGGCTCAATTGAAATTTGAAAACGAAGTCAGTCTTTTCATCAGTTTACTCTAACACGATAAAAACTCTTCCATTTTTCATCCACTTCAACCTCAAAATTTCATAAACTTATCAGTTATCAACCTCAACAGAAAAATTTAGTTAAATTTCAGCACTTCAATTCGGTAAGTATCTTTTCGTAGTATTTAATTTTATTTTTATTGAAGTCGTATATTTTTTTTAAATGGTAGAAAAAATAATATTAGAGTCAAAGTTCAGGCCGGCATCGATCAGACGTCGGAACGACGGATTTAACGACGGTCCGGACCATCCGGACAGTCCGTTGCGGACGGTCCGGACCGCCCGTTGCCGACGGTCCGGATTCCGTTTGCGTCCCGCCCCTCGATTCTGATAATTTTTTCTGATAATTTTTTCTGATATTTTTAATTCGTAATGCAGATATGGTAAAAGCGTGTGTACCAATTTGTTATTTCGGCGAATTTCAAAGGAAAGAAAATGGTCAATGGGAATGGGAATGGAAATGGACGAGTGAAGGAGAAGGGGTTGCTGCTATTACGATAACAAAAAATACTTCGTTTACAGAAATGTACAGTGAAATACAAAACATGCTTAACGTCGATTCCTCTCAGTACGATATGGAATTGGGATTTTATTTCAAAAGCATTCAACAATTTCGATTCCACCTTTGAAAGTTACTTCTGAAGCGCAAATAAAGCATCTAATTCAATTGAACCAAGGTCGAAAGACGACTCCTATTTGCGTAAGTTTGTTGAAGAAAAATGTCATCGAGGGTGAACACGAAGTTTTTGATGGAGAGGATCGTAATGAGAATGATTTTTGGGATACTGTTGAGATTGCTCGGGAGGATGATGTGGTTATTTCTGGGGCAGTTGCTACTCACCATGATGTCACCGTTACACGAAGGATTTACGAGGAAGTTCAAGACAACGAGGATCAAAGGCCATTTACAAATCAGGATTTGATTGCTTTATCCAGACAGAGACATGAGTCTGGTGGGAGCTCACATGCTGGGCCGAGTACACGGTCTTCTAATTGTTCGCGTGTAGTTCCTGATGATGAAGATTTACATGTCGATCAATTGTTTGACACGAAAAGAGATTTGCAAGAAGCCGCGCACCGAATTGCAATGAAACATAATTTTGAGTTTAAGGTAAAAAAATCAAATAAGTCTACATACACAATTATTTGTGTGGACAACAATTGCAGTTGGCGTTTGAGTGCGACAAAGATGGACACAAATGAGTTCTTTGTTGTTCGTAAGTATGCGCGGGAACATACTTGTGAAGTGGGTATTCGTCAAAATGATCACATGCAAGCTCGATCATGGTTTATTGGTCGACAGATAATGCACAAGTTTCAGGATCCACGGACGGTTTACAGACCTACAGATATCATCAACAACATCCGTCGAGAGTATGGGGTGGTTATGAGTTACCAGAAGGCCTGGAAGGCTAAAGAATGTGCATTGGAAGATTTAATGGGTTCGACAGAGGAGAGTTATGCCAAATTGGCCAGGTATTGCCACAACATGGTGAGAACTAATTCTGACTCGACGTTTTTTATTGAAACCGATGGGCAGAATCGCTTCAAGTATTTTTTTATGGCTCTTGGACAATGCATTAGAGGTTTTCGAAATGCTATGCGACCTCTAATTCTAGTTGATGGTACAACCCTAAGAGCTAGATATGAAGGAAAGTTGATTATTGCTACTTGTCAAGAT